GATGGGTGCAGGAAACAGAAATGTTCAGATCTTTTCCTCATCTAATCATATTCCTGATGAAACCAGATATTTACATTTATATTACTACATAGCAGACGGCTTATTTAACAGTGATTTGTGGCCCATCTCTTGCTGCTGTGGGTTTTATTGTGGCGCAGAAGCCCTGAGGAGATTCTGATTTATTCACGGAGGGAGCAGATAAACGTGGTGCAGTAAAACTCTTCACTTTTTCCATGAAGCATGTAGTCAGTTTAAAACAACGGAAACAAGGCGCATGTTAAATTGTCGAGCTCTGCAACCTCTCAGTTTCTGCTCTGAAGCCTCTCTGCTGTGCCGCGCTCACATTTCCTGTCAGGGCTGTGAAGTCAACTGCAGGGTTACATAAAGGCATCTTTATTCCCGCTGCATCTCTACAGCGGCAGCACACACGGCTCACGAACACGTCGCCGGGGCTGAATAACCGTGAGATCTGCTCCAAGTCAGGAAAAGCTCTCTGAGCCCGCAGGCAGCGGCGTGATCTGACACTCAGCCCGCCGTCCTGTCGTTCTGCGCTCAGAGCAGAAATGATTCACTCATCGCTTCACATCTGATCACGCTGCGAATGCTGGAAAGCTGCAGCCTCAGGTGGGGAGACAAACCCAGAGAAAACTGATCCCAGCTCTGTGCACACGGCTGAGTCTGAGCTTCATTATGAAAGAGATAAACCTACAACAAGTGTTTCAAATATGGATTAAAATACAGCTTTTTTCTATATTCGTTAAATGATTCTTTGGCATAAGATTTCCACTGAAGCCTCTTTATTTCTGACCTCTTACTACTACTGCTTCTGCAACTGTTTGTTAACACAGTTAACCTCTCAGGAGTCGTGCTATTGGTCAGATAATGTCATTAAAACGGCTCCAACAGCACAAACACAGTCCAGAGGTGCAGTTCAGGTGAAGCTAGCAGCTACAGCCGCCTGTGTCACCAGTGGATCTATTAATGCAAACTTTAAACCTTAATACAATTTAAACAGGTGAGTTATTAATAAATTGTCCTACGAAGGAAGAAATGATTTATAGAGACCAAAATAGTTTTTCTGTCAGGCTGTAAACGCGCTTATTTCTGCTGTTGGACATTTTATCGTGGGAGTCTTTTTGGACTGA